CTCTAAATTATAACATGGAAATCTTACAAGTACGCCATTGCTGGTATATATAGTGTGCATTTTCAATTGCTATACCACAAATGGACTATATTATAGTATTTCTATAGCATTGTAATGTTCTCCTTAAAAAACTGTAACATGATATATTACAGACATCTAGTCTGCTAAGTAAATCAGTGCCTTTCATTGCATTATTGTAATTCAGAATGCTCTGAGCAGTACAAGCCACCCAGTGGGGCAGTGATGTGTGTACCACTGATGGGTCAGGCTACCTGAGGGGATAGTCTATTCAAATCAGAGATGCCTGGCAGCAAGACTTATGAATTAGGGCCCCAGCATGAATGTGTAAACTGTCACATTCCATCACTTGTCTACTTGACACACAAACGTTAGCTCCTTAAATCATACTTATTCTCCAGATAAATACAAGGTCATAATTCTGCCTAACATGATACAACTTGCATACCACTGAAACATCTCTTCTTCAGAGTCTCAACAGTTCCAGCATTTTTTAAAAGTCCAGGTGTCTTCTGAGATTCAAGGCAAATTCTTAGTTGTAAACCTCTGTAAAGATAACAAAGTTACATACTCCCAAGGTACTATAGCGCACGAGAAGCATTACCATTCCAAAGGAAGGAATAGTGGGATAGAAAAGAATTGGACCACAGCAAGGCCATAGCCCAGAAGGGCAAGTGTGAGTGTGTTACAGCACCATGTTTGGCATCCCAGGTACATGCTGGTGATATATGAGTTCCAGGGGGGCTGTGTGCACTCAGCCCTATGCCTTTGCCTACTATAGCCCACATGATATCTCTCTGGGGCTGGTTTCACTCACTCTTGGGCTGTAGCTTTTTATAGCAGACATTCCACATTCCTGGCATCTCCAGCTTCCTGAGGCCTCCTTTGCATCTTTGGCTTTATTCTCATAGCTTCATATGCTGCCCTCTGGGTGTTCTTTGCCTGGCCTTCCAGGTTCCCTGTGAAATCTGGGTGGAAGTCTTTCTGATCCCACAACTCTCACATTCTGTGTACTGGTAAAATGAGTATTATGTGGACAGTACCAGAGTTTGCTGCCACTTGTAACAGTAGGTGGCACCTCTTGGACCAAGGCTATAGTGGCCTCTGGGTGCCTGGATTGCTGAGCACAGTGAATTTTGGAGGACTAATTCTTCAGGAGACACTTCTCAAGCAGGCATCCCAGGAGCCTGAATTGGAGATGGGTTTCTACTGGTTTCTGAGGTGCTCTCAAGCTATCTTCTTGTCCCTGTACCAAGTACTTGGTTTCATTTAATGGCACTAATCACTTCAGTAGCCATGCCTCCTTTGGCAACAGCTTTACTCATAGTTTCTTCAGGGCCAAAAAGTAAATATTTCAGAATTTTTTGCTCTGCTTTTTGCTGCTAATTTTGACGATATATTTAGGTGAAAGCAGCCAGCAGTATCTGGCCACAGCCTGAATGTTGGACTATTGTGAAATTCCCTTGCCAGATTAGTTCACTGCCCTTGATTTCAGTCTCCTACGAGGTATCAGGATGTGTGCAGATACACACAAATTATTTGCCTGAGTGAAACACACATGACCTCTAGACCAGCTGCCCATAGAGTCCTTGTTTCTGAGTGAATCCTCCTGAGCATTCTTACTAGTATTGTAATCTTCTGAGCTCTGGCCAGCAAGGCTCTGCTTATAGCATACTAAGGTTTGTATAGGTAATACACATCTCCAAACTTTTCCAGATTTCTTCTGCAAACCATTTCCAAAAGTGCCTAAACTGCAGAATCAGGTACAGGTCCAGCAACATCCTCATTCCTGGTATCAGTGTTGTGTATCAGTCAACTTCCCTGTCATCAGGACACAGCACCCAATACCTAATACGACTTAAAAGAAGGAGAGGTTTAATTTAACTCATGGTCAGTCACTTGGTTAACTGGCTCCAAGGCAGAAACATCATGGTGGGAGGGCATGGCTGAGTGGAGCTGCTCAATTCCTGATGACAGGAAAGTACTGCCAGGAAGCAATCCTGGAATAGAAAGGGGCCAGGAACTTTATATAGTGCCCAAAGTCATGCCTCCGTGACCCATCCAGACACACCCAGAATGTGTTTCACCAGTCCCCAGGGTCATTCCTGTCAGGACACAGTCAGGACACAGTCAGGCTTAACCATCAAATCTGATACATGCACTTCCATACACATGCACATGCATGGACCGAAACTGAAACTTTCAAATGTTGTGAAATGTTGCTTATATTTGCCACATTAATGCACTCTAATACTTTCTACCTTAATTCTTTTAATACTAGACTTGACCTTTTGAGTTGATTTTCTACTACATAAATGTGATCAGTACTATTAGACAAACTGAACTGGCCCCAACACATACTGTTTCCACATGGAAACATGAGCCAGGGCTAGTTGGAGGTCTTTTTGTTTTCTTATCACATAAATTCTACCTCCAGCCTAGCTACCTAATAATTAAAGGATGTGTTATTGTGCTTAATTTGAGAGAGAATTGCTTGTACCAGTGTTGGTTAGAACAAGAAGATCTCAAATTTGTTTTTTTCCCCTCAATGCTTCTCAACTGGGGTGAAAGAAAAGAAACAACAAAAACCATTTAGGACTGCTGGAAGAATCATACTGTTTCTCTCTACATATTTAAAAAAAGTTTTCTTGAATTGAACCAGGGCCTCCAGAGAGGTACATTTTTATACCACACTGTTTTCTATCCTTTAGAGTTTCTTTGAACTGCATTTAAGTTTTATGCCACTAGTCCACATGGGAGGAGGGTGTGAGAGGAAGTCCTATATCACTTACTACGGTTCTCTCATGATGGTGTTCATTCAGTGTGAGCCATCTTTCCAAAGACCCTAGGGAGAATTGCTCTTTGCTCTCTACTTTTCTATCAGGAACACTTTTAGTTAGCACCTGGTTTGTTTTTGTGCGTAAGGGACTTTGTGATTCATGTAGTGGATCATGTTGCCCTATCTGTATTGACAGCTAGAAAATGGAGAGCTAAATTTTGGGCCTATATTTAGAACCAGATAATATGTACTTTCTTTACTGTCCTCATTATTTTGTCTGTCCCAGCCCTTAGTGAATTATTAGTCCTGATTTTCTCATATATTAAAAAGTATCTTAACAGTTTTATGTTCCAATTCATGTCTGTATAGGAACAAATAGAATTAGCTGCTGTTGAAATGAAATTTTAAAAGCCAAATAAACTTACTTGTTACAATAGAAAAATAGGTTCATAATTTTATGAATTTTATGTTCCTGTTGTTTGGTTGGTTTTAAAAATATGAATAAGTAGTGTTAAAATATATTTAAATTTATTTTTATAAAATTAAATTCTATACTCTGTTGTTACTTTTAAAACATTTAATATTTTTGGCATCAAAATAAAACCTGATTTATTTTGGGGATAGGTGAGCCTTGTAGAGCCTTCAAATTTTTTTGGTTAAATACAAACTAATAAATATTTGAATTAAAATGTTTTCAGTTATTTTAATCTAATAATGGTGTTAAAATTATAAAGAATAAATTTTATACATGTTAACATTTTAAGTATATAAAGCTGTTATATGCAGAGCTTTTGTACTTTTTAAAATTTACCTCAGAATTTCCCAAATAAATTTCCAAAGTTTTGTGCTCAGTATTACTTGCCTTAGAGCTATATTTTTAGCTGATCTGTTTGATTTATAATTTTATCTTAGCCATTTATATACTTAGATCACTATACATAGTATTGGCAAACTAATAAAACAGCTAATGCTGTTTCACATTTTAAATGGTTTTGAAACAGTTAAAGCATTATTAAGATTTTAGAATTAATAAAGCAGAATTAGTCACGGAGGTATCTTTACAAAATATGAATTTCTCAGTTATGAAATTAAAATGTAAATGTCAACCTTATAAAATTTTAAAGTTAAAAGTCATCCAAGAAGTAGACAAGTGGTTATGCTCATTATGGTTAGAAAAAGGTTTCAGGTATTACAAGCAATGCTGCAAAGATGATGTAGACTGTTCATAATAGAACCATGCTCAAGTTTTTGAACATATTGTAGATTACATTTCAAAATACAGAACTATATTGAAGTTGTTAATACGGGAAGAAAGCATATTTTTTGAAACCTATAGTACCAGTTTCGTACTACTTTCTTAAATAGATAATATGCACAATTTAGCCTTCACTTGATTCAGAATCATTTCAAAATAGAAGCATTTTAGATAACAAAATTATTTCAAATGGAATTATTTTGAAGTCTATCCCACTATGATTCTGGAACTGTTTTGAGTAACTCCCCAGGGTTTACTAAATTGACTGTTTGGTGTTGGTAAATTCATGCCTTGCTTGTGTCACTTTCTTACTTTTCTCGTTGCTGACAATAAGTACAAGTTAAGGGAAGAAAGGTTTATTTAGCTCAGATTGTAGAGGTTTCAGTCTGTAATTGACTGGCTCCAGGACAGTGAGACTGCTGACCGACAGTGCAGAGGAGAAGCAATTCATGGTAGACAGAAGGTAGCAAAGCAAGCAAGGGTCAAGACAAGCCTCTTTCTATCCCTTATATTGTATCCAAGCCACTGGGATTAGGGCAGTGCCAAACCAATCAGCGCAGTGACATAGTAAATCACGTACTCTTAATTGGAGCACCCTTAATCCTAGCATTGTACCATGAAAAAGTCACACACTCGAGGTTAAGCTACCTCTGGAAGAGTCCCACCTATGACTTAATGAGGCTTTGTGGGGGACATGTAGACACAGACCATAACACTTTCTTAGGAGAATAATCATATGTGTCATTTATGCTGCAGGTACAGAGCAGTTCTGTACTATCTACCATTTAATTTGGCATAATACAGCAATTTTTTACTTTCTGTAAACATTAACAAAGTTTTTAGGGTCATTGATCTTAGAATGGAACAGAAAAGTATTTTTATCCTTTATAGTGTGCTTATTAGTAGCATATATAACTAGTAAAATGTCTTAACATTTTATTTTTCTAGGGTTCATGCTTGAACCAGACCCAGAGCATAGACCTGATATATTGCAAGTATCCTATTTTGCATTTAAATTTGCCAAAAAGGATTGTCCAGTTTCCAACATCCATGTGAGTAGTATTTTAAGTAGGGTGTGAATTTAATATCCATTTTATCATATACATGTATATAGACTCAGAGTTAATTATTTATGACAAATAGTCTGATAGTATGATTGCGATATTTTTGGTAAAAAGCCACATTTCCCAAACTGTGTCTTGAGGTGCCCTGCAGAATACATTTCACTTAAGAGCAGAACACAGTGACACAGACACAGACATTTCTTCTCATTAAGTTTTAGGTCTAGCTGTTTAATCAAAAAGACTGGTTTGTTTTGTTTTGTTTTGCCTAGAGGTGTGAAAAATGGAAACATTTGTTGAGATAGATACAAAATATTCTGGTAAACAAGAAAATTTGGGAACCTTTAGTGTAAAGAGCAAAGACCTCAGTTAATTTTATCTTTATCAGTGACTGCTTTTGTGTATTTTGGGGGGTTAGCCACCCCCCCCATAAAACAAAGTCAGTAATTGTAAAGATTACAACTATTTACAACCCAGTCCCTAGTTCATGAAAGGTGCCCATTTGGAAATAGCTAATAACGTTCAAAGACTTTGAATTCTATTTGCTGTTTACACACTGCATTAACTACTTCAGATGAACTGTTTATGGCAAATCTCTGCTAATTTTAATAAAGGTTGCTAGAATCATCACTGATTTTAAGCCATTCTCAACTTCATAAACGTCATTCTGGCGTGACTTGTTCTTATATGTTTCTTTTATGTCTAACTTAACTCACTACTTAAAAATAAAAGAATATGATGAACCATTTATTGTTGCTTTTACCATATCAATTTAATATTTTCCCTATTGAAGTTGAAAGCATTCAGTTGTAACATTCTACTACTGAAAGTAGCATTATTTGCCATTGAACTTGATTTTTAAACTTCTACTTAAGTAATACTTATTGATTGCCTACCTCGAGTCAAACATTGGATATAAACAAATAAGTAAAGCCTTCTGTTCCCACTTTCTGAAAATTATTTGTGGTACAGTATGTAGAAACTTTATCCTTAGCCTTGGCATTAACTTCTTTTTCTGGAGTGCAAAACAGTCTTTGATTTAAAAGTGTAATATAGCATTTCTTTTTACCTAAATTTTATCCATCTGTGCATTGCACACAGTGATACTTTGTGTATTTTCCAAAGATTTCTGGGGATAGTTATGAAAGTGACATGTGTGTGACATCTAGTGATATTTACAGAGTAGATCTGGCAGATATATGTGAATAATTTTTAGGTTTCTGATGGGAAAAAAATAGTATCTCAGAGGTAGTATTTTTTAATACATGTCCTTAATATGTTAAGCTTAATAAACCTTTCAGTAACATGTCCTTAATATGTTAAGCTTAATAAACCTTTTTGTACTTAAAAACTAAAATGAAATTTTATTTTTTCTTTCAAGAATTCTTCGATTCCTTCAGCTCTTCCTGAACCGATGACTGCTGCTGAAGCAGCTGCTAAGAAAAGCCATATGAAAGCCAGGTAGGCACAGCTGTGATAAAATTGAGAGGGCATTTTTAAAAAAGTTATTCATTTTTAAAAAAGTTATTTTTAAAAAAGTAGGTCTTGTTTTAATCCTGGCAAATGTCATTGACTGAATATCATCTTCACCCATTAAAAAATGTATGTTACTTATTGCCTGTGGAATAGTTTAGATAGCAAATGTTCTAGTTACTTTTCTCAGTGCTGAGACAAAACACCTGACACCCAGAGTTACAGAGGAGAGGTTCATTTGGCTCACAGTTTGTGGAGGTTCAGTTCATAGTTGGTTGGCTTCAAGGCAGGTGGCATGGCAGAGGGGCGTCGTGGAGAAGCAGTTCATGGTCGTGGAGAAGCAGTTCATGGCAGCAAAGTAGGAAACAGCGAGCAATGGCAACAGCCTTCTTTCTGTCCCTTACGTTCTACCCAGGCTGCTCACCTTCAAGGCGTGTCACTCACACCCAGGGCGGGGCACTCCTAATTCTAGCATCGCACTTTGGAGAATTCCAGCATCACATCTCTAGTGCCAGCATCACACGCTCTAGATCCAGCTACCTCTGAAAAACCTCACCTATGCCCACATGAGGTTTTAAGGGGACATCTAGACACAAACCATAACAGGAAGTATAAAAATAATCTTTTTAGAATATTAGATACAGGATTTATATCTAATATAAAAGTTTGAAGTGAGCTGGGGTGCATACTTGTAATCCCAGCATTTGGGAGGCAGAGGCAGGAGGATTGCCACAAGTTTGAGGCCAGCCTGGGCTACATAGCAAGGCCAACCTGAACTGTGTAGTGAGACCTTGTCTCAAAAAAGAGGTGTATCATGTTAACTTTTAATGACTTTTCTGTACTTTTTTCTGTATATCTGTTGGATTATCAGACAAGGTAGTATTGCATTTGGGGAGATTCATGAGTTACAGCTTTGTTTGTATTATATCTTATGCTAATTATTTTATTTGACATACAAAAATACATTATATGCATGATACAAATACTGGGATTACAATGAGAAAGAAGTAGTTATTTCCAGGGAGTTTGCAGTGGTAATTGTAAATGATTACAACCTGATACACAGTGTGAATAAAGGCAAAAGACTGGGAGCAGGGAAAACAACAGGATGAAAGGGATGCTTTCTTTGGGGGTTGCAGAATTCTTTCTTGAAGGATGGGTCCTCATTCCCTGGAGGGGTTGCAGTGAAACTAAAGCAGTCCTGGTGATACCATAGGACTGGAGCATAAGGAGAAGTCCTCGGGAATAGTGGGAAAGGAAGGTGCTGTAATAGGTTCATGCCAATCACGAGCAACTAGATTGATGTGGCATGCTGAGAGATGAGGGCTTTGGTCTTGAGGCCAGTGAATCCTCAACTTCCAGTCAACTCTGACTTGGTTGTAAGATGTATTAGATATAATCTCTACTCATAAATGGTTAAAGTATCATTTGTAACTTACTTTAAAAAAATCTAGTATCGCTCTAAAAATATCTTCATTCACTTGAATTTCAAAATGGTATCTTGAGGAAGGGGTAGAATAAAGTTATATCTAACCTGCAGGAATCTAGCATGACCACCAATCTCTGTGTGTGATAAAACTTTAATTAGCAGCTACTGTTGTTACTGAGTGCTAATTATGAATTATTGTGAGATTTGTTAGTTGAATTTTATTGTTACTTGTTTTTAATTATTGACCAATAAATCTTTAGGAAGGTAGTTGCAAATTAAAAAATGAGTCAACTGAACAAGAATGATTTGAATATTTTTAAACTATGACACATAAGTTGTAGCTATACAGTCACAAACAAATGAAATAATGCCATTTGGATTTGCAGTGCTTATTTAAAACATTAATATATACACATGTCAAAACATAACATCGTGGCCTATTAATGTGTACAGTTTTTATGATTTTAATAAGAGTTAACAAATTAAATTTGTAGAGTTTATAGTATATTCATTCTGTGCCTTATGTATATTAAAATAAAAGGTTCAGTGGTGTTGATTGGTCATTCAGATAAATTTACTCTATTAAAGTCACTAGAGTACTTGAAAAAAATCTAAATGTGTATAAAACTTAATATTACAAATTAGGTTTTTCATGTAAATGCCATATTTTGGGGAAAGAATCTTTGCAGAGTTAATTTCATTATTCAGCAGACATTAATGGATATTTTAACCCACACACCCTGCCTTCAGCTGTGGCACCCTACTTTACCTCTCAGAAAGCCAGACTTGCCATGTATTCTTGACACTGTTAAACCTGTGAAGGTTATTTGACATATGTGCCTGAAAGATAGAAATGTTGTGCATTGGCAGAGGGACACATTGAGGGGTTTTCAGGAGGAGAGAGGTCTGAGTTTTTAGGACAGCTGTTCCTGTGATACTGAAGAGGAAAGGAAAGGACTCTAGAAAGGTTGCAAAGGGGAGAATGAGACAGTGCGGCAGTGTAGCAGCATTGATGCCGTAAGTAGTGTCTTTTCGTCGGGGGTTGGCTTCTCTTTGCTTAATCTGTCCAAGATATTTTTTCCCATCCCTTCCTTCACAGAGAATACCTAGCAGCTTAATGAAGTAATAGTTTTTTTTTGTTTGCAGCTTAATGAAGTAATAGTTTGCAGCTTAATGAAGTAATAGTTACTTAAAAATTTTAATCTCTAGTGCCTACCTGAAGTCTTCTTTAGCCAAATTAAGGATAGAATTACTTCTTCAAGAAACTCCTGGCAGTACTAGGTTAGCTCTGAATATTTTATTCTTACATTTTATTTTATGTTCAGCAACACATGCCTTAAATTCTTAGAGGATAGAATGTTGTACAGTAGACCTCAGTAATGTATCATAGATAGTAATACATTATTAAAGAAGATATTACATTGAACAAGGTCTTCTTGACTTGTAACATGCTTTTTAGAAGATTGCTCCATGATCATGCATGTTGTATATCTCTGAAGAGCAGTTTAGACCAGGAACATGGAAAAGTTTGGTCTGTGCAACCAACTTAATAACAATTGGAGAGCTAAGCTAAAGAGTGTGTATAATATTTATTTCAAATTACTTAAGGTTAGGCAGTATAACATTGGTTTTAGTGCCATATTCTAATTTGAATTTATAAATACTTGTTAAATGAGGTAATTGTCCGTATGTATAAATGATCTTTTATTGCCTTAGCTCAGTTTTCATATGATTTGTTCAATATATATCTATCCCATTTAAAACATGTTATTTTTTAGAAGACAACACACATTCCATATATTTCTATGCCGTTTTGAAATCTTCTGATTTAATTTTGTCTTTCCTGTTGGAAAGATAGTTGTTAACTGGGCTCCCTCTTGTGGTACATTTAGATATTAGCAAAGAATTTTACAGATACGCAATATAGGTAGGGTTTTCTCTAAATACAGTGCTGCCAGCTTAATAAATCATATGTAGGTAAAACTTTCAAGAATTAAATCATTTGAAAGTATGGTGAGATAATTTAGGAAAGAGGTTTTATGGCAAATCCTGTTGGAAAGTGAAAAATTGATGCACTTGAAAAGTATTTGAGTTTCTATTGAATTTATAGAAAGAAAAATTGATAAATATGTTAAAGAGTCCAGTTTGTGGGAGATTATTTCTTCTTGTTTCTCTTCAAACGGTTGGATTTTAGTTTTTTTTTCTAAAACCCTATGAGAAGGTTTTTGTTTGTTTTCTTTCAATGTCATCTCATTTCCTTAAAGGTAATCTTTAGGACTATATGCTGTTTTCTTTCATCTTCTACAGCAAACTATAAATGGTAGCATCCTGTTTTAAAGAAAATGGTTAATTTTGTTTTCTTGTCTGCTCATCATTAAACATGTACTGTTTGAGAGAGACTTGGGAAGAAGCCAAGAGAACAAAGTGAGCATCTAGAATAATTACATGCATTTGTTGAGGTATTTTATAGAAAAAAGTAAATTAGAAATAATCACAATATTTGGAATGAAATGTGTTCTGTTGTAGAATAACAGATACCATTGGACCAACAGAAACCTCAATTGCACCAAGACAAAGACCAAAGGCCAACTCTACTACTGCCACTCCCAGTGTACTGACCATTCAAAGTTCAGCAACTCCTGTGAAAGTCCCTGCTCCTGGTGAATTTGGTAACCATAGACCAAAAGGTAATGTAACCTTGTCCCTTCTTAGTCAATATAAATAAACCTTTTATGGTTTCATTTTTTATGGGTATAAATTACCAGAAAACTTAATTTTGAAAGCAGGTAACATGAAGTTTCCAGACACTTTCTACTGATGTCTAGTAAACTTGGCTGTTTTTCTAAAGGTAAACAAAGGGAAGTTATTGGCAGTGTAAAAGTATAATACAGAAAGCTCACAGTTTGCTTTGGTTCTATAAATACAAACTATTTCTAGAGTCATCAGCTAATAGGGATGAGATAGGTAATGATAAGGTTCAAGAGTGTAGAAAATTCTCTGTTTTGCTGGAAAGAAGGTGGTTGAATCTCTGCTCTTATAAAGTTATGTCTTTGCACTAAATCTAGAACTCGGCGAAGGAATCATATGGACATTGCAGTATAAAAACTGTTTTCCTCATTTGGTTTTGAGAAAACGTATTTTTCTAATCTAAAATATCTTGTAAAAATTATGGTGCAGAGTGGTACTTAAAATTTTTTTTTTTTTTCAGTCCAGCATGGTGGTACATGCCTTTAATCCCATCTGTTTGGGAGACTGAGGTTGGAGGATTATGAGTTTGAGGCCAGCCTGGGGCAACTTTGTGAGTCCCTGTCTCAAAATAAGTAAGGGCCAAAGATGTACTTCAGTGGTAGGGTGTTTGACAAGAATGAATGAGGCTCTGGGTTCAGTTCCCAGTGCTACAAATGGGAGGAAAAGTCCCCTATGGAAATATTGCTGATTTTAGAGAGTAAATGTTATCTCTTAAGGGTCAGGTGAAGGTGAAGATTCTCCTCAAAGAAACTCAAATTTGTACTTTATTTCATGACGTCTGTCTTTTTAATGTTAAAATGTTTTCATCTAGGATAATATGATGGTGAAGAGCCCATTCTTTGAAGCTCTTGAATCTGGTTTGAGTATTTATCTCATTTTTTAGTAATAATACCTTTTAAAAATTCTAGTACCTATTTTATAGGATTGTTGGGAAAAGTACATAACTGCATAATATAGTACTTGGTATAAAGTATGCCCGTAAGAAATGTTAACTATTACCTAGTGTTATTAGTGAAGTAAGTTACTTGATTAAGGAAGATAATTTTGTCTGTTTTTTTTTGGTGCCAGGAATCAAACCCAGGACCTTGCGCTTGCCAGGCAGGTGCTGTGCTGCTGAACTATATCCCCAGCCTATTAACGTTTATTTTTATATTACCTTGAATACTGCTATATACTTCTGTGGTAATCAGGTACACCAGTTGTAGTACTCCATGAAAATGGGAAAATAATGGAAATTTTAAATCTTTGGATTTAATTCCTGTTTTGCCATTTCTTAGTGTCACTATTGTTCTGTTTATATGAGCATAATAACTAGAATGGTACCTCAGTTCATGAACTTGTTTTATAGTTGTGGGCAAGATGGCCGTGTTTGTGTTTGTGTGAGGAAGATGACCATGGTTGCGTGTGTCACCTGATGTGGAGTTTATGAATGAAAGCAAAACTTCGTTGAATGCTTTTGTTTGGGAACCAAATTTTTTGCAAACAGAAGCATTTGCTAACCAAGGTATCACTACTTTTCTTGTTTTGTAGATTCAATAACAAGGTATACTTTTTCTAGAAAAAGTCTGTCTCAAGCATTCAATGTTCTCTTTTTTTCTACGTTTTTTGGGTGGAGATCTTACCTACCTTATTTACCATGTATCAGTGTTCTCCAGCCAAAGACCATTGGGAACACATTTGTACTTTAGCAAATTAGGCTTATTATTCTAAAACTATGGGAATCTGTGAGGTGACTCACAGTAAGACGGTGACTCAGTAAGACGGTGTACTCAGTAAGAAGGTGACTCAGTAAGACGGTGTTTGAAAAAAAATTACTGAAGGATTTAGGCTTTTTTAGGTAATTTTGGGGAGGCTTTAAGAAAGTGAATCTTACTGGATTCTATTTGAAAACAGGGATATATGATTAGGTAGGTATCATATCTTTTTTTTTTTTTCTTTTTTTGAAGATGGGGTCTCACTATGTAGTTTAGTCTGTCCTTGAATTCACTATGTAGCCCAGGTTGGCTTCAAACTTACAGTGATCCTCCTGCCTCGGCCACGCAGGTGCTAGGATTATAGGTATGCACCACCATGCCCAGCTAGTATCTTAAATCTTACCTAGGTTTTATGTAGGTTATTTTTGTGGGCAGTGTTTTGGGCAGTGCTAATGATTCTGTCTGTGTTCAGATGTGAATATGGAATATGAAATGGTTTTGTTTTCTTGATCCGTTATAGTCATAGAGTGACTTTGTTTGATGATAGCTTTGTTTATTGTCCTTTTTGGTGATTCTGGGGATTGAACCTGGGGCCTTCACATGGGGCTACATTCCCTAGCCATTTTCTTTTAAGACAGAACTTGCTAAGTTGCTCAGATTGGGCTTTTGAACTTGTGATCATCTTTGAAGAGCCTTGTGGCACTAAAGAAGAGCCACAATTTGTAATATAAGGAGTGAGCCTCATAGTCATTTCACGATGGTCCATGGCTTATAATTGGGCTCTATATGTGCTTTTCAGCCACACATCAAGCTTCTGAGAGATGACTGCATAGCTAAGGAGCCTAACTTTACTATTCTTCCATCTGGAAAGATATATACTTAAAAGATGGCTATATCTGTGTGGTGGAATGGTTTTCATTTTCTTCCTTTTATTTTTATAACTATTTTGTCTTTAAGAATAATTAAACAACTTTTTTTCTTATAATTAGAAGAATTAGAAATAGTTTGGAAACTGTTTTCACAGAGACATTATACTTAGACCTGAGGAGGTTTGAAGATATTAATATTTATGAAACTTTGGTCTTTCTTTGTACTCTCCCTTTACTCTTTTCTTCCCCTTTGGTTTAAGCAATTATTATTTAGTCAGGTTTCCATCAGCATAACAAAATACCTGAGGGAATTAATTTAGTTAGAACAAAGGTTTATTTTGGCTTACAGTGTTAGAAGTTTCAGTCCATGATTGGGTGGGCCCATTGCTCTTAAGCTTCCATTGTGGGTCCTGGATAGCAATGCAGAGACCACTTGGTGGAACAAATTGTTTACGTCCTGGCTAGAAAGCAAAAAGGGAAGAAGCTGGGGTCCCACAATCCCCTTCAAGGGCTCAGCCCCAGTGACCTAAGAACCTTCCATATGCCCCATCTCCTAAAGTTCTATCACCTCCCAATGGTGTCACCATGGGGACTAAGCTTTTAACACATGGATCCCTGGGGTATATGAAATATCCAAACTATCCATGCAATTATTTTTGAATAAGGGTAAGTCACTGGGAGAGAACACAGAAATTACAGTGTGTGTGTATATATATATATATATATATATATATATATATATACACACACAGTGTATAATTTTTATTTTTTAGTTAATTTCAAAAGTTTATTTGTGGAATTTTTTAAAGATGAAATTTATAGAGCTTGTGAATAAATGTCTATTTAGGAGATAGTGTTAATAGATTCACTAAAGTAAGCATTTAATGAACATCTTTAATATAAAAGGCTTTTTAAATCTCCAATAGGTAAGTATCACTCTGTCCTTCAGGGTCCTGGGCTAGATCATGGCCATATAAACCATTAATATATGCAAGATAGAATGAAGTAATAAATTGAGTGGAATTGCTAGATGAAGGAACAAGGAGGAGATTTGAGCTACACTTGAAAGGAAAAGAATGTGAATAAGTGGAAATGGCATTAGAGATTTAGAGACTCCTATCAGTGAAGATACTCAATATTATATGATATAGTTGAGATGTGTAGGTCAAACTGATAGGGCTGGTATGTTTATGGAGAGATGAAGCATAAAACAAAATGTTTCTAGGATTTGTTAGAGTTGTAGATGACAAAATTAACTTTCCTAGGCCTTTACAATTACAGTAAATTCTTTAGACTATGTACATGTGGAAGATTTTGTTTAGAAATTAATATAAGTGTGCTAGTAAATAATTATTGAGAACTAGCCATTTTGCTGAAATTATTAGTATATTAATGAAAATTTTTGGAAACCTATCCCAGGAGTCTTAAAACCTGGAAACGGTCCTGAAAGTTTACTGGGGCAGGGTCACCCTCAGCAGCCACCACAGCAGCACAGAGTCCTCCAGCAGCTCCAACAGGGAGACTGGAGATTACAGCAGCTTCATTCACAGCATCGCCAACCTCACCAGCAGCAACAGCAGCACCAGTTACTTCAGGACGCTTACATGCAGCAGGTAACCTTCTGTTACTTTGGATATAGGGTAGTGCTATGAAATCGATACAGTAGTGGAATACACAGAATTGTGTTTTGTATCATGGGCACTGCCTTACTTACTTTTCTCATTGCTTAGACAAAATATCTGATACCCAAAGTTAAAGGAGGAAAGGTTTATTTGACTCATAGTTTGTAGAGTTTCAGTTCATACTTGGCTGGCTTCAAGGCAGGGTGATGTGGTAGAGGGGTATCACAGAGTAGGCAGGCAGAAGGCAGCAAACAGCAAGTGATGAACAGTGACAAGTGACCTTCTTTCTCTCTCTTACATTTTATCCAGTACACTTACTGTTAGGGCAGGTAACATTCATATCCTTAATCCTAGCACAAAACCATGAATCAATCCCAGTATCGTATCCTTGATCCCAGCATACACACTATAGATCCAGTCACCTCTGAAAAAGCCCTACCCATTATCTCATGAGACTTTTGGAGAGACATCTAGACCTAAACCATGACATCCTCTACTGACCCCCCCAAATACTCATGTATATCCCTTTATACAAAAAGTATTTAATCCATCTCTAAGAGTTGCCAAAGTCCTAAGAGTTGCAGCATTGCTGAAAAGTCCAAGTCCAAAGTCTCCTCTGAGATTTAAGGCAAACACTTAGCTACAAGCCTTTGTACAAATGAAAAGGAAGTTAAACACTTCCAACATTCAATGGCACAAGATAGACATTACCATTCCAAAAGGTACAAATAGGGGGCTACAAAGGAATAGGATCAAAGCAATCCCAAAATCCAGCAGGGCAAACATTAATTAAGCCCTGTAGTTCCATATCCAGCAACCAAAGCAATCTGGCAAGAAGTGAACTCTAAAGGGCTTGTGTAACTATGTCCATATGGTACTTCTGGTGGTTGTAGCTCCCATGTCTTGTCTCTTGGGCCCACTCTACTCACTTCTTGCAGCTTTCCTCAGGTGATCAATGTGCCTGGCTTCTCCACCCTTCTGGGGTCCACTGTAGCTTTGGCATCACACTCACAGCTTCACACACTGCTTTCTCAGGGGCACATTGCCTGATGTCCTAGGCCTTGTTCTGAAATTGGAGTGGAAGCCTTCTTTACCCCACAACTCTTGCATTCTTTTTTTTTTTTTTTTTTTTTGGTTTTTCTCCGGTACCGGGAACCGAACTCACAACCTTCCGCATGCCAGGCAGGCGCTTTTGCCGCTGAGCTAAATCCCCAGCCCCCACAACTCTTGCATTCTGCATGCACCTAAAACCAACACCATGTGGGTGATGCCAGTGTCTGCTGCCAGCTGGAGTAGTAGTCAGGCATTGGTGTTATCCATAGGGTTGTTGTTGTGACATTACCTGGCCATGTGGTTTAGGAGCCTTTGGAACTAGCCTATGGGGAGAATTTGGAAAGGTTTGGAGAAGCCAGCTGAAAAAACAGCCCTGGAGTGACTTAAGCTTTACCTGATGGAAGATTCTGGTCTGAGCTTAGAAGACCGGAATGCTGATAGAAATGCCAGTAAAGACCTGACTCAGGAGATTTCTTCTAGGAAGAAGGACTGCAGTGGCTGTTGGATTCCAGATGATGTGTGTTATGCCTTGGCAGAAAGTTTGTCTGCATTTTGCTCAGGCCTGGAGACTTTGCCTGAGACTGAGATTAAGATTGGCAGACTAATTAATCTTGCAGAAGAAATTTCGAGTCAGTCTAATGTTGAGGTGGTGCCATGGTTACTGTTAGGGGCTTTTAGCCAGATTTATGTTGAGAGTAAAGAGCAAAGAGCCCAGCAGAATGATTTAAGACATTTTGAGTTTGACCAGAAAGGAAGCTATAGTAAAGTTGCAGCCTACAAAGATGGAACAGAAAAAAAAGTGGTTGCTGAAAAGACTAGCAGAAAAAGCCAAATATTTTAGAAGAAGACAACAGAAAAGATGGCCTAAGGACATCAGAAGAACCAGCAGAACTCCAAGCTTTGCAGCATTAGAGGTGCAAAGGTGAAAGACTTTGCTTTGAGAAGAGAGTCCCAGAGCACCATGTTCCAGAATGACGGCAGCCTAGAGAATTTGTTCCTTGGCTTTGGGTTCAGAGTGCTTTGATCTAGGCATTCAACCCCTACAGCCAAAATAGGAGGAAGCCTGGCTGCTGCTCTAGCTGGTGACATACATTGCCATCCCCCATGTGGTGCTAGTTTTAGGTGTGTACAGAATACAAGAATTGTGGAGTCAGGAAGTCTTCCACTCAGATTTCAGAAGAAGGCCTGGATGGTCAGGTAGTGTTCCCCTGAGAGGGCAGTGTGTCAAACTGTGAGTGTGAAGCTGAAGGTGTAGTGGGAACTCCAGAAGGTTGGAGAAGCCAAGAGAATGGATTGTCTTGGGAAAAACCATAAGAAGTAAGCAGAGTAGGCCCTAGAAAGAAGCCATGGGAGCTGCAACCAACCACAGTGCCCTAGGAGCAGAGCTGTCGAAGCCCTTTGGAATTGACACCTTGCCAGAGATTTCTGCATGTTGCTGGACATGGAACTATAGGATTTAATGTTTGCCCTGCTGGATTTTGGTCTTGTATTGATCATATTCCTTTGTATCACCCTATTTGTACTTTTTGGAATGGTAATGTCTATCTTGTGCCATTGAACACTGGAAGTGTTTAACTTCCTTTTCATTTGTACAAGGGCTTGTAGCTAAGTGTTTGCCTTAAATCTCAGAGGAGACTTTGGACTTGGGCTTTTCAGCAGTGCTGCAGTTTTTAGAACTTTGGCAACTCCTGGAGATGTACTTTTGCAGAAAGGGATATGCATGAGTGCTTTGGGGGCCTGGGGTGGAATGCTATGGCTTACGTCTAGCTATCCCCCCAAAGCCTCATGTGGTCATAAGTGGGGTGTTTTCACAGGTCGCTGGATCTAGAGTATGTGATGCTGGAATTAAGAGTATATGATTACTACATTAGTCTGCTGATTGGTTTGGCATAGTTCTGGCTATGGGTGCTATTTGCCCTAAGGAAAATTTAGAATATAAAGGGACAGGAAGAAGCTGCCATAGCCACTTGTCTCTCACTTGCTGACTTTTGCCTGCGTGAACTGTTTCTCCTGTGTGATGCCCCTTTCTCTGCTGTGCCACCCTGTCTTGGAGCCAGCCAACTGTGAATTGAAATCCTTATAACTGTGAGCCAAATAACCCATCCTCCTTTAGCTTTGTGTATTGAGTATTTTGTCTCAGCAATGAGAAATGTAACTAAGACAAGTACTTTGAACTCAAGATTGAAAGTAAGCGCTTCATTGATTTCCTGAATATAAAACAGTATGTAGTTAATGTGCACTTGATCAAATACTTAAGGTTACTCTGTTAAAGTGGATTTTATCATGGCCTTCAGAAGCACAGAATTTACGTGTAGTCATTAGGTATTTGGAAATAAACATCACAGTTTATGAGGAGTATTATCTGTTGAGGTTACAGTTTGGATTCACAGACTAATAGTGCTATTGTGGGAATATGATACTAATCTTTTCAGAAGTAACATTGTTTTATGCTTGATCTTAACTAAAAGGCTGAGAAGTGATATGACATTGTTTTAGATTTTTTTCTTTGTTTTTTTCTCCTGGCTTGGCATGGGGGCAGGAAGAGATACTTAAGAGTTGGAAGGACAAAAAATGAGCCCTATGAGTTTTATTCTGTTCTTTGTTTCATCAGAATCTGCAAATTTCTAGTTTCACTGAATTATTTTGAGTTGAACTACAGTTACTGTCATCATTTTCATTTTCTGAAATATTTTTGAGCCAGTTGTATGCATGATGCTTCTCAGGAGGTATCACTTTCCTCTAATTTTGCTTGATACAGCTAGAGTAGAAAGGAGTAGGGAAATGGTGCATGGGATGGCCAGAAGACACCACTGAAGGAGAAGTTGAGGAAAGTGGTATTAACTGTAAGGGGTCCTGGCCAGAGTTGCTTCAGGTGTCTTTATGCTCTAGGAAGAGGTGATAAAAATGTTCAGTGTCCGCTTTCTTCCAAACATCTTTAAACTGTGTTGGATACGGTTTTAGTTAAATCTGTTATATTTCATTGACAATTAATAAAACAATTTTGGTAACAACATATAAGTTATAATTACTTTATACATATCTACTTTCCATGTTATTGCTCTGGTAAAATCAGAACTTATAAAAAAGTGGTTCTGGCATATAAAGGCATGAATAATACTGATTAGTGTTTTTCTTTTCTCATTTTAGTACCAGCATGCAGTGCAGCAGCAACAGTTACTTCAACAACAGTTTTTAATGCATTCAGTGTATCAACCACAACCCCCACCATCACAGTATCCGACAGTGGTAAGTGTCATATAATTACTAGAGATCTCTCTGGTATGTATTATAATTTTGGAATTCACAGTATAAATGCTGTTATACAGAATTTAATAATTCAGAATTAGTTCAGGTTAGTGAATTGACATCTGTTTTATTGAAGACACTTACAAGCAATCTTTAATTGTGCTGACCTGTAGCACCTGAAAATGACATACTGCAATTGACTGATACCATGCTTCTTTCATAAGGAAGATGATCTGGTATGCAATCTTTTGCTCTCTGTCCCTTTCATTCAGTACATATCTATTGAATAAAATGAAATTTAAAGGAAAAGCATGTTTGTTTGCTTCAGGTACATGGTACTTCAGGATCTTTTTTACAGTAACTGTTTTACTAGTGATTTTAAGTACTCTCTTGCTTTTTCTTGTGTCTCAATGTCTCAGTGCTTGGCAGCTTGAACCGCAAGTGGTACATGACTGTCCCATGCATTACTGTTATCACTTGTATCATCAGTGGTACAAACTGGCTAATAGGATAGTCACACATGTACCACTGGTGGTACAAGCTGCCTTATGGCACGGTCATGCCTATACCACCGGTGCTCTTTAAGCCAGTGGAAATGTAATAAAGGAGGATGTTTAAAAAATGACCAAGGAACCCTAGGTTCACAATTTTTTTAATAGATATTATTTATCCTATTACAGTTTTCTAGTTAACAGAGCTGGTCCTTCAAATATACATAGTTTTCTAGGTTTCTAGTTTGCCACCAGTTTGAAAAGGAAGAAATGGAGTAAATATTTGTTAAACTGAAAATGCTTTGGTGAGTTATGGGTTCATTTGGATGGTGCTGTTTGCTGTTTCAGATGCAGCAGTATCAGCAGGCTTTCTTGCAGCAGCAACAGATGCTAGCTCAGCATCAGCAGTCTCGACAGCAGGCATCACCTGAATATCTTACCTCCCCTCAAGAGTTTTCACCATCCTTAGTTTCTTACACTTCATCTCTACCAGCTCAGATTGGAACCATAGTGGACTCCTCTTACAGTGCCAATAGGCAAGTATTTTTCCTGTCAGTGCGAAGAAATTATTGTGGAAATGGATGCTGTTGTAGAGTGGAGTAATTATATATAACTCCTAAATTAACTTAGAGTCTGTCTTCTTGTAGAGCCACCTTTCTTCTCTTCTAGTCCTCTCTTCTATTCTCTGAGTCCTTATCCTTTTATTTCCACCAGTTCTGCTAACTGTGGTTTACAGATAAAGCTTAGCAGCCTTTAGACCTTTACCCCTGGGCTGCACCCCTAGTCCTTCTTTTTCCTGTTTTTAGTGAGGAAACTCATTTCATTTTTATCATTGGGCACTTATTTTCAGATATGTCTGTTTTTGCAAATTTGTTACATTACTACTTGCATTCCATAGTTTATATTTTAGTGCTTATAACTTGTTTGATCTTATTATTTACAATATGCTATTGGTGTTATTAAAGTGCTGTGTATGCAAAGTGAAAAATTGTAGCTAGAATGGGAAAATGACAAAAAATGCAGAGGTTTCAGCCTTTGCAGGAAGGAGTGGTATATACACATACTGTTTTCTTTTTCTTTTGATGTTACTGGGGCTTAACTTTGTGCCTCAGGCATGCCAGGCATGTGCTCTATGAATGAGCTACATCTGTAGCCCTTGTAGACATATTTTAATGTTTTCAAACTGTAGGATAAGATTACACACTGTTGAGTACAATCTTCCAAGAATTCATACATTCATCCTAGGAATGAGGCTGTGTGATTCAGATAGAGAGTCAGAAGTGGATCGTTGATAGACAGGAGGGAACATGCTCTTGAGTTTCCTCCTTTCTGCTTTGTGTTCTAAGAACCCAGAAAGTGCTTGAAAACAATTTTGGGGTTGGGAATGGGCAATCTTAGCAGGTCATCCTCTATAGGTAAATATATGTAAGGAATATCTTTTTCAAAAGGAAAATGACTATAGTATCTTGCACAGTATGTGCAAGGACGGTATGTAATAAGTTGTTATTTTGAAGTAATACTGTTGGAGAAAGTATTTCTTCAAAATAACTACTTATTACGTACTGTCCTGGTTATGCAGGATACTACAGTAAACTTCAAACTTGTATACTATGGGAATAATTTATTTATCAAGTGTTTCCTTTAATTTATTATTTCCAGACACTGTTTTTCTTGCTTTATATGTCTTAAATCATTTAATTTCCTCAGTAACCCTGTGAGGTATATACTGTCACTCTTCTGCTTTACCTGAGGAAGCTGAGGCACAGAGGGGTTAAGGAGCACAGCTAGTGTTCTTTACACAGGAGATGATGAAGCCAGTGTGCTTTATGCAGGTGGTTCAGATCCCAAGTTGTTTTTCTCTCCATCCCATACCCATAATCTGCCATCTCCATTATAGTAAAATGGCCTAGTTATTTAAGCATTTATAAAGTGTGAACTGGTACACTGTACTTTTAAAAAAATTCTAATGTTTTTGTTTCCCTTTTTTTTTCTCTCAATCGTTGTAATAGGTCAATGTCTGAGAAAGAGACAGTTGCAAATTTTACAAATCAGAAGAACATCAATAACCCACCTGATATGTCAGGGTGGAATCCTTTTGGAGAGGATAATTTCTCCAAGTTAACAGAAGAGGAATTGTTGGACAGAGAATTTGACCTTCTAAGATCAAGTAAGGGACACTTGAAGGCTTATTTTGCATCAGAGTAAAATAACAGCTCTCTAATTATTCAGCAAGGCCAAAGACTGTTTTGAAGTGTTATATATAGAACATTCTTTTTGTGCATTTGAGGGCAAAATTCAGGCCATCTTTCACATATACTACCAAACTACGTCGTGTGCGTCAAACTAGTTGCTTGATAATGGCTGTTAAACCCAAGATTGCTGGTAGTATGCTAATATCCTCACATTTAAATACTACATATCTATGAATGTTGGAATATCTTCAAAACATTGAAAATTAATGTTCAAATAAAAAGACATTAGTATCTTACCTTACTAATCATTTCGTAGATCTCTTTTGTTGCACACTCAATTGAAAATATTGTGGGTCTGAGATGCCCTTTGAAAATGCCTAAAAGAAAATGGGGACTACTACATTATGTTAATGTTCTGTAATACCTTTTTAACGAGTGGTCACAGAATAGGGCTGCTTTGTTGTGCTGATATGGCAAAAGTTAAATAAATTCTTTTCTACCTTAAATCAGTAATGTTTTTACTTGGAATCATTCTTTGCCTTTTCTGAAACTACCTAATATATGTCAGGCCTCTTATATATATATGTCAGGCCTCTTCACACCTATTTTAAAAATGTTCTGTTTTTTGAAGCAGATTCTGGAATGTTTTGAGATTTGCAAAATAGAATCATAAAGCTTACTTCTGGATACACAGATAATCTTTAAGGTTTCTGAGGTGTGTGTGTGTGTGCACACGTACATGAACATACACAAGTGTTTGCATGTGAAAAGAAGGCCCCAATAATGCCCAGTTCTACTTTATATTTTTATTTAGTTAACTGGCTTTTTGAAGACATGTAATAGATGAAATGCTTTATTCCAAGCTAGAATATTTCTTTTTGTAAAATTTATAAGTTCCTTGCATTTAACTAAGGATAGTTGTGTGGGATTTAAATTTGTATTTACATATTGGGTATATATTATGAAAGCCCAATTGATGATTAAATGTAGATATAAAAATGAGTTCTGAGCTCTTAATAAAAGTTTGCTAATTTTAGTAAAACCAGTTTTACATCTTACTGCATTTTTTTAAACCACAAATTTTTTGTTGGCATTTTGTCTTGTAATTTATATTTTAATATTCCCTAAAGCAAGGTTTTTAAAAAGGAAAGTGTGTGTCTTTCTTTGGAAGAGATAGTAGGGGGAAGATAGAGGGAGTAGCCAAATTGTAATTTATAGGATTATTTTAATAGCAAAAGATACTCATTTTAATTTTCTACTCCTTGGGTAAAAAGAAAGTTTTTTTTTTAAATCAACTTACAGAATAGGTAAAGGATTTTCCTTTTGTACCATAGAAAATGTGCTATTCTAAGCTTCTTAGAATTGTAATGACACTTAAGTTTTTTATTTCTTTGGCATAGATAAGAATGTTATATAAACACACCTATGTGTATAACTTCAGCAGTATTTGGTTTAGCTTGTAAAATCTTGAACCAGCTATTTATTTTCAGACTTCAATGCCAGATAATATATATATAATCTGTATATTTGTGGATACATGTATGCCAAAGATAGTTTAGATTTCATTGCAGTGTTCATTATAGAAATGTATCAATGAAAACACAAAAAGAGCTTTATCTGAAGGTCAGACTTGGAGCAACCTCTGCCATTTGGAAGAAAGTCAATTCCCATGCTACTGAAATCCCTGCCACCAGGCCTTTACATTTAACACATAGTACCAGAAAATAGGATTTTGATTCCTGACAGTGGCATTTAATAAGATTATAATCTGAGTGAAGTCACTCAGCTGCTGTCAGTCTCACAACCTTTTTTATAACCTGGCATAGATAGTACCTGTTTCATGAGTTTCTGTGGAGAACTTAATGAAGTAATGCTTTTAAAGAGTCTGGACACTGGTAAATAAATACAGCTTTCCATTTCCTAACCTTCTGTATAAGTCTTTAGGCTTTGACTTGAGGTTTTGGGTCTCCAGTTGGTATTTAAAAATTATATCTAGATGGTCAAGTTTCTCAGCTGCTCATCTAAAAATCAAATTAGAAATGGCCTTGTGGGCAAATAGCAATAGCAGAAGGAACAAATGACAGCAAGAAAACTGATGGGAAACTACCTGTTTTTTCTGTAACCATTAACAGCCATTGTAGTGGCTCAGACATCTTCAGTAAAGTTTATAAAGAGACTAACAATGTGTAGAATATATAGTTTAGAAATATTTTCTCTCAAAGTTTTATTTAACTATAATAGTCATTTTTACTATCTCTTTAAGATAGAAACACTATGTATGTAATATTTGATCAACTTGATGGGGTTTAAATTATACCAATAAGCAAAAGACTGCTACCAACACCTTAAGAATTTCAGTAGAAGACTGATTACGTTGAAAATTGGTGGTGTTATTAGTTGGTTTTTCTTTCCTAACAACTTTTTCTAAAATGAAGAAATAAATTACTGATGCATTTGAAATACCAAACAGGGTATTTGTGCCTTGTTTCTTGACACAGATAGTTGTTAACAATTTCCAAAGTTGCTTTTAAAGCAGTTTATGGGCCAGGGATTTAGCTCTGTGGCATAAGCGCCTGTCTGGCAAACACAAGGTCCTGAGTTGGATTCTTGGTACCAAAAAAAAAAAAAAAAAAAAAAAAAAAAAAATATATATATATATATATATATATATATGTAGTTTTGAAATGCTTTTCTGTGTGAAACTGAAAGCTTTTACATGGTCCTTAAAAATACAGGTATTGTCTGTATAATGATGTAATGGTTGTGAAGCAACCTACAGTCAGAATATACATAGGCATTTAAGGTTGTTCTTGTAAAGTGATACTTAATTATTTCTTTAAGAAATAAAGAAAAGTAGAAGAATGTATTGTCTAGGAAATGTTTTATTTTTGTGTATTACCCAGAAGGTAATTTTAAAAGCATAGTAACATTTTGAGATATTAATATTAGTAATAACTTTTTTTAGTGATCATTAGTAAAATAGTTGATTGCTTATACTATGCAGAGATTTAACATATAAAATTTGTGTTTTACCTACATTGTAAATGAATGCTATTTATGGTTCAGAAGTTTTAGCATTGGTAATAAAGCTTGTACAATATTTTTTTAAAACTTAAGCTTGTATTTGTCATTGTCTTTTGTACCAAATATCCAGATTTGGATGCAAAATTTACATATCTAATTGTCAAAATATTTAGTGTATTTAACTAATTAGAGTTGAGGTATTTGGGGAAATTATTAAAATAGTTGTATAGTCATTAATTAAGAATAATTAAAAAATTTTGGGTGATGGATTTGTTTGTTTAACATTTCATCAAAATAAGTAAAGAGGAAGAAATGGGTACCCCAAAGATTGTGATCACTGTGCTGTTCTATTGAATGTTTTTCCTGAGACGCCACAGAATGTAATTAGTTTATTATAGAACATTAACTCTCACTTCTCTTTAGCTCATTTAGACCTGTTACTGTGCCTGCAGTTCAAACTAACACACTTTTCAGGTACACTAGAACAGTTTCAAGGGTATCAGATAAAGACTATTCTTTAAAACTTCAGCCATTAACCTGTTTTTGGCCTTTTCGGTCATTATCCATATAAGGACAGAATGAACTTTATACAATCTTAAAAATTTTATGGTGATATAATGGAGTGTACTTTGATTCTAGGATTTCTGTATTTTTGCCATTTGTGTCAGTTAAAATTCTTGAAAAGATAACTGTCTTTGTGAGCATAATTCTTTGGGAAGGTAGGAAGAGGTAGGTGGGTTTCTTATATTGGACAAATACAAGAAACTTAGTATTTATTCTGCTCTAAAGAAACCAGTCACTTGACAGTAGTACTTAAGTACATTTTAGGGTTGACTATATTTGAACAGTAGTTCTATCTAACCATTTTATTTTCATTTATAATTATTTAAAAACTAATGTGTATTCATTTCGTATTTTGTGTCCTGGGGACCCAGCTTATCATGAACTTTAGAAATCCAAGTGACTTAAACATGTTCATTAAACTGATTCTGTTTTGTGAAACATTAAGAATATGATTCATTTTATTATGAATTTTTGATTTAAAGTAATATCTATTTTAAAATAATGAATTTTGCCAGGTGTGGTGGTGCATCCCTGTAATCCCAGCACTCGGAAGGCTGAGGCAGGGAGGATCATTGTGAGTTCGAGACCAGCCTGGGCTACAAAGTGAGATCCTGTCTCAAAAAGTCAAAAAAAAAAAAAAAAAGAATTTTGCATTGAACAGTGTCTCCCATAGAAGTTTTTGGTTACTTATGGGGACTCATGTAAAAATTAATTTACTGCCACATGACTGTACACTTGTCATAACTGCACAGTGTTCTTTGTATATACAGTATCATAAACCCCCGGCATGGATTGATGGAGACAGGGTACCAAGTGCATAAGGATTCAAAGAGCATTGGTAGTAACTTTGCAGTTTTGTAATCTGGAACTATTGATATAATAGTGGTTTATAAATTGGAAAGCACTTTAAAATTCAGATTCCTTAAGTCCAGGTAACTACATTTAGTATAGGAATCCTGACAGTTGACTTGGTCAGTATCTGTACACCCTTTTAGTCTTGATTTTCAAGAATGAGAGCTCTTGGATATTGCTGTGCAGTGGTTATAATTCTGAGTTACCCAGTTGTTCTTTCCCAGGCCCAGTTTCCTTCGTCCTCACTCTTTTATACCAGAATCTTGAGGGTGAGAGATGGACTGGAAAGGACTGGGAAGTCTAGGACAAGGCATGCTTCCTGGGTCACAGTTACTCTGTAAGTGCATTCTGGGCTTAATAAAAGAGGTATCCACAGGTAATTTCTCTTGATTCAGTGACTCTTAGGCATGGACTTAAAAATCTGATTATGGCTCCCCGATAGAGTAAGTTAGAAATATTTCCTTATGTATTTTTGAAGAAAGATTACTTTTTTAGAAAGATACTGTAAGAAGAGCTTCTCTTAAATAGGTGTTTTGACAACAAAATGTTAAAAAAATATTTTCTGTGGTACAGTGAGCATTTGTTACTGATTTCTTGAATTAAATACACATTTATTATCTTAAAAAATAAATAACTAAAATAAATTTTCATTGTTTTCATTTCAGTGTTGCAGGTGAAAAGTAGCACTTCACTTTTCCGTTTGTAAATCAATTTTCAGAAGTATTCTGTTAGTATCAGTGTTTCAACATAGTATTTGAACAAAATTTTAATTAAAAATTTAAACAACCCAGAGTTTTATGTGGGTCTTGCAGTTTGTCTTAGCTATAAAAGCTATTAATTGTATCTGTTGTCCTAAAGGCTTTTTAAAACTATCAAGTATATTCAGGATGTTATGTACTCCAGTGTCTTGGCATTTCAAGAGTTGCACTCCATGGACACCTGGGGTCTTGTTGATGTGCAAAATCTCAGTACCCACCCATATAAGGAACCTGAATCTGCATTTTAACTAATTCTTCGGTGATTAGAATGCACATCAGTTAAATTTGAGAAGTATTGTCATGCATTGGTGGTGGACCTGGGCATGTGCTGCAGGGGGCTGTTTGTATCATTGAAAGCTCTAAAACAGTGATGGTGAATCTTTAAGCACTTTGAATGATAACAAACAGTCCATCAAGGCCCCCTTACCATAGGTTTGCCACCAATGCTCTCTGAGGTTCCCTATCACTGTGGGATGCAGCTTTTTACCTTGGAGCTTTTGCTTCAGTCTTAAGTCACAAGTTGTTCTAGTTCTATTTGTATTTTCCATTCCCACCCTGCGGTACCTTAGAGTACCTTAGAATTCAGTTGAAACCAACAAAATTAACCTAAGGAATTCTTGAATATAGACAGGCATAAATGTGAATTGTATTGCTTTGAATGCTGATGGACCAAAGGTCTAGTCCTGGGAATGCTTAAAAAGCCTCAGGTAGCATGCTTTTAATTGGTAAAAATCAGAGGAAAAAGACATTCTGCAAAAATCTGGAAGTTCTCAGCTGATACTGTGTCATTACGGGGAGAGTTTATAAACAGGGAAAAGATAAATATACTACAAAATTAAGACACATCAACTCTGCCTCTAACATACCTGTTCTACTCTTGACATGGGTGTGCTCTGGCCCTTCCTCTTTCTGGGAGTTGTTCCCCCGGTATCCACTTCCTGGCCTCCTTTAATGCTTTTCTCACTTAGTAGCTCACCTGGTAATTATTATCACCCTATTACTGTCTACTCTCTTAGTTCCTTTGTGCTGCATTTTTCTCTATATCTTCATTAGCTTTTAAAAAAACATACTGCATACATTTCTTTTGCTCATTGCTTATTTTGTCACCATATAAGCTACATGAGGGTAGGTGTCTTCGTTTGTTTCACATTACATGCCAATTGCCTAGAATAGTGCTTGGCCCATACTAGATGCTGATCCTATATATTTATTTATTGGATGAATAAATAAATCTTTGTCTTTATCTGTGGTTTTGTATCTGTGTTTGTATGTGTGTGTGTGAATGATTTGATACTAAATGTAAAGTAAAATGAGAAATGAATAATAAAATGTAGTGAATTACTTTTTATTGAGAAATAGGATTTACCTATTTTTATGGATTAATCACCATTTGCAATATTTTTTCATATTTTTTAGAGAAAGTGTGCCAAATATGTCATTGTTTAGGAAAGAGGGTTTACAGTTAGGTCCAATATGTTATAACATTACAGATAAGTTATTATTAAAATCAGCTACATGAACTTACTAGGTTAATTGTATTTAATGAAACATAGCACTGATAATATTGTGAGACTTGCCTTTATAGCAAGAAATAATGTGTTAGGCTCAGGATTATGCTGTACTATTTAGAACAATGCAACTCTGAGTCTAATACTTATCAAAAAGGCTGTTTTGTTTAATTTCACTTTTTATTTATATAGAAGTATATCACTTTTGATTTAAAGACCACTTTTCTTTTCTCTTTTTATTTTGTTTCATCTTATTTTTGCAGACAGGCTGGAGGAGAAAGCATCCTCAGATAAGAATGTAGACCCACTTTCTGCTCCATGTACCCATCCTCCAGAAGATCCTTTTGGTTCTGTTCCTTTCATTTCTCATTCAGGCAAGTTACATATGTAACATCACTATCATTAAAAAATATGCACAACAACAAAATCTGATGAATATAAAGTGAGGGTAAGAATCAGATGTTAGTTATGAGGGCATATTAGAATATTATTTCAGCCTTCAGCCATCCTTGTCTTCCTAATGTTCGTCCCATTGGGATATTCAGGTGTACCTTTGCCAACATAGAAAAATGTTGATACACATAATAGAAACATAACTATTTTTTCACCTTTATTACCGGATACTATTTTTAAAAACCCATGCCTGAAAATTCATTTTTCACAATTAAAATACATCTAAAAATATTTTTGTATTTAGCATTTGCTTAAAAATGGTGGAGTTTTCCTAACATTTTGTCTTGTAGTTGGCATTTAAAAATTAGTAACAGTGGGTTTTTCTTGGGTCACAGTCATTTTGTTTTAGTTACTTTTTTCATATAGTAGCCCAGCTTTTGATTTCAATTCAAAATTTAAATATTGATATTAATATTTTTTAGTAATAATTTCAGAGTAATTACACTGTTAATACTGAGAAGATACTAGGATAGAATAGAATCTCACTTTTCCATAAATGAATTCTTTGTGTATGTGTGGTCATAGAGAAAAAAATGAGTTTAAATCTTGGTGAAGGGAAATACGTGGAAAGAAATGATGATTGTTAGAAGGTGAAGATTTAGTTTAAGATAGTCAAGATAACTGTCAGCCTTGGTTTTTGGTTTTCTTCTTTTATTCCTCAGGTAAATTACATAGTATTGTACTTAAATAATTGGACTGGCAAGTGGTTAAAACTGAGATGAGAATTCAGGGCAATCCTAAGAGATGCAGGGAACGGGCCATAGGGACAAGAGAAGTAGAAGAGAGCTGACGAGAGAGGAAAGTTAAGAGGAAAACAAATAACGAATCATACTTTGTGAAATGCTCATGGGGGCAGGTGATTGGCAGTACAGTGGTACCTCGGTTCTCGAACACGATTCTTTCCACAGTTCTGGTCGCAAACCAAATTGGAGGAGAACCGAATCAAATTCTCAATCAAATTAGTTTCTTTCTCTCTTTCTCTGTCTCTCTTTTTGTGTTTTTAAGACAGGGTTTCACTGTGCAGTTCAGGCTGGCCTCCAACTCACAGTGATCCTCCTGCCTCAGCCTCCCAAGTGCTGGGATTACAGGCGTGCACCACCACACCTGGCTCAAATTAGTTTTAGTGTCGACCTTAGGAGGAAATTTGATTCAGTTCTCATCCAGTTTGTTGTGCGACCAGAATCATGGAAATAATTGAGTTTGTGAACAGAGGTACCACTGTAGTCTATCAGATTTAGCATTTAGCGGTTATTTGATCTTGATAAGAATAATATAGTTGGAATCATTTCAATGGATTGAGAAATGTAAGGGATATAAGAAAATTGAGATATTATTGGTGGTTATTCTTTGCAGCTGTCAGCTGTACTATGAATAGAGAAAGGTACACAAGGATTAGGAAAGGGATTTTGTATATAATGTGGGGGTAGGTGTCAATAGAAAGTCTAAAAGAGAAGGAATAAAAAACATATTCTTAAGAGACAAGCCAGGGGTGGTGGCACACCTGTGATCAGCACTTGGGAGGCTGAGGCAGGAGGATCATTGTGAGTTCGAGACCAGCCTGGGCTTCAAAGTGAGCTCAAGGCCAGCCTGAACTGCATAGGGAGACCCTGTCTCAGAAAAGAAAAGAAAAGAAAAGAGAAGAGAAGAGAAGAGATAAAGACTTGTCCAACAAAAACAAAACCCCAAACAAAGCAAAAACAGAAGAAAGAAGAGATGAAGTCAGCATAGATGAAGAATAAGCATCAAATAAGACCTCAGAATTTCTCCTTTCGAGACTGGACACAGATAAACATTAGTGTGCAGTAGAAAATTAAAGAGAACTAATGCTCCGTGGCTTCAGTTTTCCTTGTAAAGTATATGGTAGAGTTGTTCCCTGAGATGAATGAAGTGGCAGTAGCTCAGTGGCTTGAGAAGCTAAACAGTTTGGGCTGTGTAAGTATGGGAGAGGTCCTCAGGAGCCAGCCTAGCTTGCTGGTCGTTGGTTTACAGTGGTGTCAGTGCAGTGATGAATCTAGTGATTGTTGCAGTTGGTTTGGGAGAGAAGACAGCAGATATAACATTGTGTGAGAATAGCAGGAGCTGCGGGAAGAAAGGAGGTGCTGATAAGGGAGAGGTTGAAGTCGTGTACAATGAGATCAGGCTGCGTGGAGGTTGTGAGGCCATTGAGGACGATGATAATCACCTGGATAAAAAGCCAGATGACCTGTTACAGAATAGTGATTATGGGTAGGTGAGTAGACCATCTGGATAGATGAGAGAGTATGAACTGAGACACATTTCTAAGTGGCTTACGTGCACACATAAAAGTTTGGAATTAAGGAGGGTCTGTAATGTGGTGTCTGAGACATCATATTTAATATTAAAGTTTTGCTAAGGAGGGAAGGCTTGACCATATACCAGCAAGAAGAAAAGCAGCAGTTCAGTCGCTGACTGAGCACACACAAAAGAGCACTAGTATGAAGGTTGGGGAAAAAATGATACAAAAGTAGCAGGAGAGAGACTATCAGATCCTGCTGAACAAGGGGATTTTAAATGATCACCATTTGAAAGCCATACAGGAAGTGAAATGCAGAAGAGGCCTGACTCTTCCATTGATTTAAATGACTTTGTCAGTGTTAGCTGGCATATATGTAGAAATCTCTAATGCTTCCAACTCAGAGCTCCAAGGAGCTCATGTTTTTTACAGTGGAAGAACAAACAGGAGAAGCCTGTGACACTGTTGTGGAAGGATAGCAGGGAAGATGATAGTTGGCAGGGAGGGAAGAGGTGTTAAGGAGTTGATCACAGAATTGGATGTTGGACTGTTTTCAAACTAAGAAAGGATTTTCCAGAAGGAAAACAGGAGGTGGGGCTGGGGATATAGCTCAGTGGCACAGTGCCTGCCTGACAAGCACAAGGTCCTGAGTTCGATTCCCAGAACGAACAAACAAAAAAGTTAAAAAAAGAAGGAGTAAAGGTGTTCTAGGCAAATGGAATAGCATGAGTAAATGGCCTGGTGTTTTCCAGGAAGCTAGAGGAGTGGTTGCCCCTATGTTCTTAGCTCTAGGTCCTGTTTCTCTTCTAATCCTTTTTCTAATCCCTTCTAATTGTGTTTTCTTTTTGCGCTTCAGGAGTAAGCCCTGGGTTGGTTGGCCACATAGAATCATCTTATTTGTTTGTTGCTTTCACTTATAATGTCACTTTAAGACTTTTTTAGGAATATTAGCAGAAGAAAACATTTTGGTAGACCGTGTTTTAAAATGAATTAAATCTAGCTTTTCTTCTTATTTTAACATTTCTATATAGGAAAATTCATATTTTATAAATAACCATTCTACAAAAATCAGTAATTATATCAAGGACATGTTTGATGGTATATACAAATGTAATGGTTTATTCTCTTAAGTTTATATTTTAGTTATCATGGAATTAATTTACCTTTTATTTCAGATTGCTAAACTAATGAGTAGCATAATTCATTAGAAAAACCATTGACTTTGGTATTTGGAAGCCCTGGGATCAAGTCTTGATTCTCTCACAAATTAACCATCTTCTACTAGGTGTTGCTTAATTTTTAGATTTTCTGTAATACTAGCTAATTGATAGAATTATTGGGAGGATGGAAAGGATGTTAGAAAAGTACATATATCAGTAAATATTGGTTGCTATTTTGGCTGCTGTTGTTGGTAGTATTATTAATAGTATTTTTACTGTTTACTACTAACTTCTGAAATCTTAAGTGCTAAATATGTGGCAGCTGCTATCCAGGCATGAGTGGTATGGAATTCCAATGATAATAAGCTAGTATTCTTTTCATTACTGAAGGAAACATTTAAAATACAGAATCTATTGTGAGGTTGATTTTATAACTATTATTTCTATGTTTACCAAAGCATTAACTGCCAGAATTCATATAGTGTACTCACTAAAAAAAGTATCAAAAGCATGGTATTTACAGTCTGTCTGGAAATGCACACCTTTCCCTTCTCCCCAGGGCACTGTTGCACTGTGTGTATCAACATAGAATGCAGAGTTCTGTAAACCAGTAGAATGTGTACTCCCCAATTTAATAAACACCCATGACCTCTGAAACATAAAGGTATCATGGAATTGTAGAATTGTATTTGAAGAATTTTTTTGGCATGTAGACGACATTAATTAGACTGTATTCTATTTCATTTCTTTTTAAATTTGGTTTAGGCTTAATTAGTTTAGGTTCATATATTGGATCATTTTATAAGCCACAATGAAATATATAGTTTATTCCTTTACATTCTAGTATGTAATTCTTGATAATCACGAATTTTTCCATTTGTCTAATTTCAGGATGTAAGCAGTAAAGAATATTGAGTTCTGCTCTAAATAGTAGAAACTGAGACTCGGAGAGGGCCAGAGACTTATGTAAGGTCACATAGTTCATAAATAGATATCCAGCTCTGATTTCAAACTGTTCTGTAAATAGTGGCAAAGCAAATAAAATCATTAATCTGTTTCAAGAAAAATCTATAATAATATGAATAACATAATAGAAATATCAGTTATATGGTATTTTTAACCTGGCTGAGAAAAATCGTTCACAACTAGTATGGTGTTTGTCTCTCCTCTCCTTTTTTTGAGACAGGGTCTTGCTGTATAGTTAGGTTGGCCTTGAACTGTGTAGCCTATGTAGCCCAGGCTGGCCTTAGACTTGTTACTATCCTCGTGCCTTGGCCTCCTGAGTGCTGGGATTATATGCATGCACCACCATGCTCAGCTACTGTGGTTTTCTTTTACTTAAACCATGTCACTTAGCTTGTCTTCAGAGAAATAGTACAGATTTTGGTAAAAACTTTACCCTAATCCGCTAATCCTTGGACTGAACATGTTAAATTGCTGGGAAATGATGGCTGGCAGTATGTTACCAATTCAACATGAGTTTTAGTCTTACGCCCCTCCCTTCTAC